CTTGAAGCATTTCTTGATGATGATTCAATGTCATTAGTATTTGTTGTTGGGGAGAGCCGAGCAGGATGGGCTGAGCAGGTCTGTTGCCCTAAAGGGTCAAATGCCTTCAATGTTTAGACCTGATCTCCTTGCTTGTTGAGGTAATACTGGAGAAACATGACCATGTTTAAACCCGAGGCTGCAAGCCTGGTTATACTTTTTGCTTAAGTCTACTTTGTGTGATAGTCATATAGGTCTACTAGTTGACATAATTCATAGTTCCATGGTGTTTCTTTAAAAAATTTTAAATATATTTTTAAAATTTTTAGTTATGGATGGACACAATATCTTTATTTTGTTTACTTATTTTTATGTGATGCTGAGGACTGAACCCAGTGCCGCATGTGTGAAGCAAGCGCTCTGCCACTGAGCCACAACCCCAGCCCTTACATGGTGTTTTGTTTATACCCTTTTAATTTCAACCTTTCCTATCCCCATGTCTCTTGTAAAAAACAGATGTACATTTTGTTTTTTATTGTTATTTACTGGAATAGTCTTTGTTTGGATTTAAGTCTGCCATCTTTCTCTGTGTCCCATCTGTTCTATGCTGCTGTTATTTTCCTGCCGTTTCCCTACCCATGGAAGTTGTGTGCTCTTTTAGTATTTTTCTTAATGACTAAAGATTATGTTTTTTTTTGATTATTAATCCCATTTGAAGATAACTTGTCTTATTTTTCTGTTATCTTTGGGTTTTAGCAGATTTACTAATTTGTGCTTAATTATGGATTTATAGTTATTTTTCAGTGCCATTAAATGAAAATGTAGTTATTCTCATTCCATCCTTCTAGGAATCCCTAAGGCTTCTAATTTAGCTTGTGGATTGATGTCTTTAGTTAACTTTGGAACATTCCAAGCTATTCTTTATTCCAATTTTGTTTCTGCCCCATTCTCCTTTCCTTCTGGTGTTCCAGTTACATGGGTATTATATATCTTGTCACTATTTCCTGTGTCCCTTACGCAGTTTTCAGAATTTTCTACCCTTTTGTTTCTTTCTGTTTCATTCAAAGGATTTTTCTTTATCTATCCTCCAATTCGCTAATTCTCTTTTCAAGGGTGTCTACTTTGTATGCTGTTAAGCTCATCTATTGTATTTTTAATTCCTTAAATTATATTTTCAGTTCTAATATTTCTATTTGGCTTTAAAACTTTTTAAAAAATGTGATCCTTCAGTTCATTAATCCTCTTTTCATCTATGTTTGGTATGCTATTAAGTCTACCTACTGAATTTATAACATCTACTATTTTATTTTTATAATTTCTACTATTTATTCTGCAGTTCTTGTATTTCTGTTTGGTTCTTTGAGAAACCTGATGTGTTCTTTATTGTACTTTCAAGTTCTCTATAAAAATTCATATCCTTAGATTTTTTCCCCCCAAACATAGTAAATAAGTTTATTCCGTGTGTGTGTGTGTGTGTGTGTGTGTGTGTTTGTGTGTGTGAGAGAGAGAGAGAGAGAGAGAGAGAGAGAGAGAGAGAGAGAGAAAGAGAGAGATAACTCCAATATCTGGAGCCCCTAAAGTTTTTTTCTATTTTCTGCTTTCTAATGGTTTCACTTTTGCCATGTTTTCCCCTCCATTTCTGGTTACTTTTGGTTATGTATTGGACATTGTAGATGAAAAAAAAATGAGTCTTGTCATGATGTTCTTGTTTCCAGAGAGGATGTATGTTTGCTTCTGTCAGGTACAGGAAGGTACTAGAAATGAAACAATCTGAATCAGTTTTAGAAACTGATCATTCCAGCTGGTTACTGTCTCTGCGAGGACAGTTGTATTTCCAGGTCACCCCTAGTGCCAAGGGTGCTCCTGAGTTCCCAGCTCAAAGTGCAGAGGCTCTCCTTCCCCTGCTTTGGCTGTCTTGGACTCCAGGTTTTGTCCCCTGAGCTTTTTGAGTCTGTCAGAAGCACTATTCAGTTTCCATTTCCCGCTGAGAGAAATGCTGCCCCAAATGCCAAGTTCACCTCCCTGGAGTTTTACTTCTCCCAGATCTTAGCCTGTTAGTCTTCATTGTTTTGTTAGTTCTTAGTGATTTCAAATAGATTTTTTTTTTCCTTTTTGCCTACTTTTCTAATTGTCTTCAGTAAAAGGACTTGTCCAGTTGTCTAGTTTGCCACTACTAGATTTGGAAATCCTGATCTTTGTAAACCATTCTTTTCAATCTGGAAAAGCCTTTGGTGAGAAACAATGGGTATCTGACCTGAACTGAGAAGAGAGCTCTGGGTCTGACCTGCTCTGTGCTTATACATGAGGGTGTGTGTGTGTGTGTGTGTGTGTGGAGGGGAGTGGTGGGTACAGGATCAGGAGACCTGAGTTTGAATCCTGTTCAAACTTTATGATCTCTGGCCAATTAACTTCTCTTAGCTGTAGTGTTCACAGCAGTAAAAGAATATGTCCCATATAGGATTATTGTGAAGGTTTAATATGTTAATGTATGGGGCAAGAGTAGAATAGTACTTAATATTTGCTTTTGCTATAAGTTTGCTAAACAAAATAAAGCTTTAAAGAGATTTAAATGAATAGCATTTGTTAACTGTTGGTTTTTATGATCATACATTTGAGGAAACAAGGGGAGGCTACTTTACTTCTCTGTGCTTCTTGGAAGTAAAACAGTCATAATGAGTAAGTCATAGTTATTCCTAACAGAACATCTTGCTTATAAGCAAGTCCTTGACAGATGAATAAATAAATGACTATTCTGGGCAGAATGACTTGTTCTAATAGTTCTCAAACAAAAGTAAAAACAATATCACCCTGTCAGAGAAGAAAAAAGTTGCTTGCTAAGGAATCTCATAGTTGAAAAGTGAATAGATAGTATAGCATTGTTGCCTTGAGTCCCCTTATTCTAAAATTATCCACTTGTGGGAAATTTTTATTTATGAAATGTATTATTTTTTCACATAACTAGAAAATTGGTTGTATCTTGAGATTGGTTGGAACAATGATTCATTTGCCAAAGAGCTTAGTTGCTTAATAAAAAGAGTACCAGGAGTAGAATTTAGAATTCGTCTAAACACACAGTAGGACATCTCCTTTCCTGCCTGAAGGAGATCAAGTGGAGAACTTGATAGATTGGATGAATTTTCCACCTTTAGAAAAAGTACAAAATTTCCCTCTTTAGAGACTCTACTCTTTTTGCCCTTACACTTAATCTTGTTAGAGGATACAATATTCAGCATTTTGTGATTATTGATTTTTCCTTTATATTGGCTAAATTTCTTGAGTCCTGTGGACTGAGGAGCAGCAGTTCACTGAGTTAGCAGTGCAGGACCTGATAGGGGGGCATGTTTGGTATCAGTGGCTTCTCTGCTGTGAGCTCAGGGAGGTGTTGAGGCAGTTTCTTAGACAAATTTACATTGAACATATGTCAAGCGTTTCTTATTAATTAATGAGGTAAATAGTAGATCAAGGATACTAGTTCAAAATAAGAGGGGTTCAGGCCTGGCTGCTGTTTTCCTTCCCAGGGTTATTGAAACATAATTTTCTTATCAGTGGACAGGGTTAAATTTGTGACGCAAATGGTTTCGGCTAAATCCCTTCATGACCCATTAATCAGAAATAACAAACAGTCTATCTGTGAAGCAAATTATTAGCAAAGTAATCTGTGAGTATTAATTAGATGTATCTAGAAGAAAGTTTTGAAGCCCTGATAAGGAGCCAGTGCCCTGGATGCCAGATAAGATCAAACAGAAGTCAGCTCGAAGAAACTTCCGAGTTCTGCTTTTTTTTTTTTTTTTTCCCAAGCAAATTCATCCAGCATGAAATTAAACATACTGACTATATGATTTGCATACTTCTTATTTTGGGGACAAATTTTTTTCTTTATTAATAGTGTCTAAAAACCCTCCTACATGGGGAGGAACAGCCTGTAGAAAGACACGTGTTTGAGGACTGGAAAGAGGAAACAGGGAAATAGAGTACCCTGTGCCCTCCTGACCACATGTCTGGCCAGCCTTAGAGTCCTGGAACAGTAGCTGTGGAAGGTCCAGTCCCTTGGAAAACATCGTGACCTGCGGTTTTCTAACTGTGTTTGGGGAAGCCCAAGGAGTCAAGAGGAAGCTGAACAGCTGTCCTGGACCATCACGTAAGCAGACTGCACTACAGAGGGACACCATAAAACAAAAACCAAAAACTGGGCAAAATTATTTTCTCAGAAGAAAAAAAAAACCCGCTTGAATTTCATACCATGTAAATTTTGTGTGTTATAGTTTAATATTGCTTTTAGTTTGAATTGCATATTGTAAAGTTTGTGGGTATCCTAATATCTAGTGCGTAGGTTCCTGAGGATATTTATCCTGCCTTGCTGAGTAGGTAGGAACACAGCCCCATCCTCAGTCTCTCTGCATTTCTACTAGAGCAGAGACTGTGACTGTGGTTTTAAATATGATTTCATTTGCACAAGAGTAATATTGGTCTAGGATACCGGTTACAGAAAATGTTTCATTTATTCACCTACTTGCTTTGCTTTTGTTTGGTTGTAGTTAGGAACAGTGATATGATCAGATTATGTATTTCGATGATTATTCTGGAAGGAGAAAGGAGTGAAAGTGGTAGGGGCCCCAGGACGTCCGTTTCACTGTCTATAAAACAGGACTGGCTGTAGCTGTAGTATTCCATGATCAAGTGTGGATGAGCCTCAAAGCCTGCGTTCCTGTAAATGACAGGTTTTGCTTAGGAAAATCAGTCAGGGAGATTATGTATTCCTGGCATTTGGAGTCCCAGTGACTGTTTGATGTTAATGGATTTACTGGAAAGTGCTTTTGCGGGGTTCCTCTGGCTTAAGGCAGGCTTGCTATTGATGTAAGTAGGAGACCACAAAGAATGGTTTCTCCCACCCTCATCCTTCTTTAACCATTTGCAGTTTGCTGGATCCTGTGACTCATGCTTGTGTGTCTGAGATCTTGGAGAAAATGACTCCATCTCCACCGCTGAGTCAGGGCCGGCCTCTGCCTCTCCCTCCTCTGCAGGCCCCAGCCTGATCATCCTGTGACCCTGGGGACCCTTGCCAGAGGCTTCTCCTTCATCTTGGAACTTGCCCAGGTATGGCCAACCTGGCTACAAGAGCCCCTAGAAATCAGTTCCCAAATCTTAGTGCTAGAAAAAGTTTGAGAGACCTTGGTGATGGTCGAGCCCAGGACCTCCCAAACCTGGCTGCGTATTCAGATTACCTGAGCTATGGGGAAAAATGTGCCTTCCCATCTGCTTTTTTTTGTATCAGGGATTGAACTCAGGGGCACTTGATGACTGATCCACACCCCCAGCCCTATTTTGTATTTTATTTAGAGACAGAGTCTCACTGAGTTGCTAAGCGCCTCTCTGGCTTTGAACTCGTGATCCTCATGCCTCAATCTCCTGTGCACTGGGATTACAGGTGTGCACCACTGCGCCTGGCCCATCTGCTTTTGAGTCTCATTCACTGAGTCTGGGTTGGGACCCAGAAGTCAATTTTTTAATACTATCCTGAGGTGATTCTCATTTACTATGTGGGCAATGTGGGGGAGATGCTAGTCAAAGGGTACATGTTCATTTCAATTAAGCAGGAGAAAAATTGTCTTTGAGGTGAAAAAGATAACTTATTTAATAGCTATTTAAAAGAATCTACATTGGTGAGCTCCAGTGAGATATTAGTGTTTTTAATACCATCCTAAGGTGACTCTCATTCATGGCATTTGGTAATCTTTGATCTAGTCTCATATCTTAATTTTATTTAAAAAGTATATATGTATTTACTTTAAAAAATATATATATATATATTTATTATTTTTGGTATTGGGGATTGAACCAAGGAAAGCTTTGTGACTAAGCTATATCCCCAAATCTTTTAAAAAATCTTAAATTTTGAGACAGGGTCTCACTAAGTTGCTTAGGGTCTTGCTAAGTTGCCGAGACTGCCTTGAACCTGTGATCCACCTACATCAGCCTCCCAGGTGCTGAGATTACAGGCATGTACCACCACACCTGGCTTTATTGACCCTTTTTAAATATGAGAATTTTAAATAAAACTCCCCAAATCCCATTTTCCCCTCAATGGGGTAAAAAGATTAGAATACATACTTATGTTTAGAAAATTCAAATGGTATAAAAACATGAAGAATGAAAAGCCAAAATGTATCTTATATTCCTGGTCCAACTTCCCAGAGGGTAACCACTATTAACCAACCTTCCTTGGGATTATACTCAGAAATATTTTTCATGGATATGATCTTACCTATCCATCTACTTAATTCTAAAAAGTCTGAACCCCCCCCACCACCACCAAAAAAAAATCATCCTATGCATTCTATTTATTGTTTTTTCAACTTAAAATATTTTGGACCTCACCAATGTTAGATTCCTTTTAATAATCATTAAATATTATTATTTTCACTCCATAGACTTACATTTTTCCTCCTGTTTAACTAAAAACATTGTATCCTTTGACCAACATGTTTTCCCCCAACTCCCAAACTCCAGATATCAATATTTTGCTCTGCTTCTAGGTGATTTTTTTTTTTTTTTTGCTTCCATAGATAAGTGAGAACATGTAAGTTTTTCTGTGCCTTTTTTATTTCACTTAGAATAATGACCTACAGGTTTGGCCATGTTGTCACAAATGGCAAGTTTTCTTCTTTTTAAAGGCTAAATTGTATACCATTGTGTATATTTACAATGTTTCTTTATCCTCTCATGTTGATGGACATTTTGGTTCATTCTATAACTTGGCTATTGTGATTAATGTTGCACTAAACATGAAAATAAAGATGTTTCTTCCACGTATTAATATCACATCCTCTGGTTATATACCCAGAATTGGGGTTGCTGGATCATAAGATAGTTCTGTTTTTGTAAAATGTATGTGGAACATTCCTGGTGTGTACTCAGCACTAAATATTTGTTAAATGAATGAGTGAATGTATGACAATTGCTGCCTGGTATTCCATTTATGGTATTAGTTCATTTTTATGTTAATAACAAAATATCTGAGGCAGGCTAACTTTATAAATAAAAGATGTTTATTTAGCTTACAGTTCTGGCAGAAGGGCAAAGGGTGCATCTGGTGATGACTTTCTGGCTGACAGAGTCAAGATGTAACAGATGGGGTCTCTTTTGGTCTCTCTTCTTATAAAGTAACCAGGATTCAATTATGGGGGCTGTACCTCGATGATCTTGTATGATCCTAATTACCTCTAAAAATTAGCCCCACCCCCAAATATCAAAGTTAGATTAAATATCACCCACGTAATACCCTCCATTGGGGATTAAATTAACTCATGAACCCTTGGAAGACACACTGAACCTATCTACACCATAGCATATTGGTATGTCCCACTTTACTATTTGCAGACACTTCTGTGTTGGCTATGATAACAGATAAAGCAGAATCACCCGTGCATGGGTATCTTGGGTACTTATGTAGGGTGGCAACAGTGCGCATTGAACCAAAGGCATTAGAAAATGAAAGCAGTGACTGAGTAAGAAAAGGAAATAAAACTGGAATGGGGAATTTTTTTCTGGGACTTAGGGTTACGGAATTACAGAACTTAGGGCTGGGGTTGTGGCTCAGTGGTAGAGTGCTCGCCTCACACGTGCGAGACCCTGGGTTCAATCCTCAGCACCACATAAAAATAAATGAATAAAATAAAGGTATTGTGTCCAACTACAACTAAAAAATAAATATTAAAAAAAAAAGAATTACAGAACTTAGGTTTAGAGAGAACAGTAGAAGGTTGTTCCTGCCTCTTGCCCTCTGCAGGGAAGGGACTACATCTTTGGTTGCCAGATTCTGCACTGAAGTAGCTTGGGGAGCCACAGTGAACTCCCTGGACCGAGGGAAGGGGAGCTGCAGGGTCTTTAATATTTTGGGCAGAAAGACTGATCTCAGACATCATACAAAGTGGTATGTTACAGTTAAACTTGAAACATACTGCATTTCTTTTGGTGATATCATCTTTTATGAAGTTAAATTTTTGATGGTTGCCATGATACAACAACTGTTGGGCAAAAATTACTGTGAAATAAGAAAAGAGGATAGCACTGTCCAAAGTTTGAAAAGTTCTACAGAGCCCAACAGTGCACACATTCCGTTAGTACGTAACTAGTTAAGAATGAAATAATATTTTTTTCTTTTAAATTGTGTGTTTTCCAAACAGCTGCTAAGGTGTTAGGACACAGATACTTATTGAACTGTTTCAACCTAACTATTTAGTATATAGGACTTTTAGGTATTTCTTTTGGCCCAGAATGCTGTGAAAAAAAATAATTAAGATCCTAAGGTTGAATAAAAGGTGAATAAAAAATAATTAGGGATGACTGATTTACATTCTGTTTTAGTCAGATTTTTCACTGCTGTGACTAAAAGACCCAACCAGACCAACAGTAGAGGAGGAACAACTTATTTGGGGGCTCATGGTTTCAGTCCATAGACGGTGGCTTCATTCCTTAGGGCTCGAGGTGAGGCTAAACATCATGGCGGAAGAGTGTGGCAGAGGGAAGCAGCTCACATGATGATTGGAAAGCAGAGAGACTCCACTCTCCAGATCAAAATATATACCCCAAAGCCACCATTCCGGTGAACCACTCCCTCCAGCCACACCGTACCTGCCTCCAGTTAACTACTCAGCGAATCCCATTAGGAATCAATTCACTGATTAGTTTAAGGCTACAATCTAATCATTTCTCCTCCAAATCTTTTGGCATTGTCTCACTTGTGAGCTTTTAGGGGACACTACATCTAAACTACAACACATCCTCACTCATCTGAATTATTTTAGCTGCAATGGAGAGACACCAAATGAGCTGTGGGTTAAGAAGAAACAGGGAATTATTGGCTCCCATAACTAGGGTGTCCAGGGTTACAGATGGCACCAAATTCTCTGAGTTCAAGTGCTCACATGAGCTTTGAGGCTGGTCTGTCTTTCCATCTAGGACCAACTCTCCAAATGTAAGTAAGGCAGTCCTGGGCCCTTCCTTTCCAGACTCACATCCTTTTATTTTAGCAATCCCAAGAGAAATGATCCTTTGTTCCAAGAGCTAGTGCATGAAAATATTGGGGAGGACCTTAGTTGACCATCCTGGGTCACTTGCCTACCCCTGAATCCCCTGAATATGGGGATTTGAGTGGGCAAAGCTAGGTTGCATCTCCATCCCTATGCTTAGGTAAGGTCCCACCTAACCCACAGGTAGGTTCTCCTTAGAAAAGAGGAAGATCTATTACAGGATAATAAGAAAGGAACAATGGACAAAAACAACAAAATTTTCATTTCACAGCTGAGGGGAACAGACTGGTAATATGGTGGTTTAATAAGTAAGTGTGGAAACTCTGGAGTGCCACCCAGCTGGGTTCACTCCTTGGTCAAATTAGAAGCATGTCCTTCTTTCAAAGATTTGACTCCTTCTCTGTAAATTGGGCATAAGGGAAGATAAAGGTGAAGAAACAAAACATGGATCATTATTATAGTCCCTTCATCACAGGTGGTCGATGTGAGTTCTGAATGAGTAATAGGAAGTCCCTTGCAAGACATGGTCATAGGAAGCCTTCAGCAAGGAAGCCGTTACAATTATTGATCAAGAGACCATAAGGATGCCAGGTGTAGTGGCACCTACCTATAATACCAGCAGCTAGGGAGGCTGAGACAGGAGGATCACGAGTTCAAACCTAGCCTCAGCAATGGTGAGGCACTAAGCAACTCAGCGAGACTCTGTTTCTAAATAAAATACAAAATAGGGCTGAGGATGTGGCTTAGTGGTCAAGTGCCCCTGAGTTCAATCCCTGGTACCCGCCCCCCAAAAAAAATAAAATAAAGAAACCATAAGGATCACATGCTAAAAAGTGACCCAAGCCTCTGACTGCTGATTTTCCTTTCCTGTGTGTTGCAGAGTGAGGCGGCATGGATGCCATCAGCCAATCCCCCATGGAAGCTGTGCTTCCCAAGCACATCCTGGATATCTGGGCCATTGTCCTCATCATCCTGGCCACCATCGTCATCATGACCTCCTTGTTGCTGTGTCCAGCCACTGCCGTCATCCTCTACCGCATGCGGACTCACCCAGTGCTCAATGGGGCTGTTTGAGAACCACCCAAAGCCCCGGCAGGGACGAGGATGCAAGTCCCTTGCCCCAGCCTGTTCTCAGCAACACAGTGGGAAGGACTTGGGAGGTTGCATTCTGGTCTACCTCTGTGAGTTCCGGGTTCACTGGCTTTCAACCAGGGATCATGATCTCTGCCCTTCCTACCTCATAGGGTTGTGAGAACCAAGTGACAAAGCTGTTTGAGAACAGTGAAGCCACCACAGATGTCCAGGTGTCACGCCAAGAGCTGAGAAGCTTTGAAGAAGCCAAGAGCCTAAAAGCTGGTGATGGCCTTTAAGGTGGTGAGGGAGACACTGGGGACACAGCAGCCTTTTCCTGTGCCCCTCAAACCAAGCGAAGGGTACCCTGCCCCCATTCCCAGGGGCTAGAAACACACTGGCTCAGGATTGGTTTCTTTGAAGCATCACTCCCTTAAATTTTCTCCCTTGTCAAGGAGGGCAGGAGCTGAACATGGCAGGGAGAAGGGAGTTGAGTTAAGCTGTCCAGAATCTCTTCTGTGCCCAAGGTTTTGCCCCTGTATACTCTGGAGGAAGGCTCTGCCATTGTTTGGCAATGCCCAGGGAGTTAGGGTTAGGGGCTTCTTTCTGCAGGGGAGTCTCATTTCTCTGTAGCTTTGCCACTCAGGCAGTGTTGGAAAATGCAGGGTGTCCAATACCCTGCTCAGCTTTCAGGATCTGCAGTCCCCAAACCCTGTGTGCCCCACACTAGAGATGCTACATCCCTCTGTCCCGGCTCCTGCTGTCATTAGCTCCACATATACTCCTTACTCCCTCCCACCAGAACTGCAGTCAAATACAAGGTATTTGTATTTTAAGAGACGTTCTCAAGACTTTCGGAACTAACTCAAGCCAGTGATGATTATTTTAGATGCTATGATTTGTATTTATATAGAGATATTTCTGGACCACTCAAGCTGTTTGATATCCACATCAGGAGCATCCTGGGATTTATTAAACTATGTAACAAGATAGCACAGATATTAGGATATTATTGTGTAAAAATGATGCTTTTACTTTGATCTTATTTCATTGACGTACACAACCAATTTCCAATAAAATACTAGAATGACCTTATCTGATGTCTTTCTTTCAAGAGCACCTTCTGAACTCAGAACTCAGATAAAAGGATTCCACTGAGTTTATGGGCCTTAGTGACTATTTGGATGGAGGAACAGAAGGAAAAACAGGAGAATCACATTAACTTCCAGGGTTCTAACTTCAGAAAATGGATGAAGTTATATGGTTTACACAAATAAATAATTCCAGGGGTTAAAAACTGATTTTGGATGTAAGATAATGGATTTAGTACTGGACATGTTGAGTATGAGGTGCCTGTTATGCAGGTGGACACTTTCAGGATGTAGTGAAAATCTTGCTTTATTCCTTAGGGAAGATTTTGTGGCTGGAGTAATGGTTTGGGAGATTGTTGTATATGGTAGGCATGCTACTCCAGGGGACAGGATCAGAGTATGCAGGCCAAGAGGAGTGAGGTGCTAAGTTCAGAATACAGAGAATGCTAAATAGAAGTGGGAAGGGAGTCAGGAAAATAATTATATTAGTCAGCTTCTTGTAATGGTGTCCAAAATACCCAAGAAGGCAACTTAGATGAGGAAAATATTTATTTTGTTTTATTTTATTTTTTGGTACTTGTAATTGAACCCAGGGGTACTGAACCACTGAGCCACATCCCCAGTCTTTTTAAATTTTTTTTTTATTTTGAGACAGTGTCTCACTAAGTTGCTGAGGCTGGCTTTGAACTTGTGATCCTTCTGCCTCAGCCTCCAAGCTGCTGGGATTACAGGGGTGTGCCACCTTGCCCAACAGGAAAAGGTTATTTTCAGCTCACTTCTCCCAGGAATAGCACTGTAGTGAAGAAGTCAGAATTAAGGGATTCAGAGAAAGAGCTGTAGAAGGAATTTCCATCTTGTCCATTTGACTTACTTTAACAAAATACAGTAGACTGAATAACACATAAACAATACAAATTTATTGTTTACAGTTCTGAAGGCTATGATGTCCAAGTTCAGGACACTAGCAGACCCAGTGTCCACTGAGGGTCCTTCCCTCAAAGATGGAGCCTTCTAAGTGTCTTCACATGGTGGCAGGGTACTAAAAGCCCCCTCAAGCTTTTACAAGGGCACCAATGTCATTCATGAGAGCAGAGTCCTCATGACCTAATCATCTACCACAGGCCCCACCCCTCAGGATCATCACTTTGAAGGTTCCTGTTCAACACATGAATTTTGAGGGAGACACAAACATTCAGACCACAGCTGGGAATACATATTTGTGATGAGATTCTGATTGGTTTGCTCAGCATTTCTTCCAACTCCTGGTGTGCATTTCTGGACGTCACAGGCTGGAAAGTGAAAAACTACATCAAGGGTGAAAGCCTGCACTGCCCTCACAGCCCTGGTGCTAGAGATTCCAGTGTGCTTGGAGGCTCTGCTGTTCAGACGCCTGCCTGCCTGCCAGGTTTATTGTGGAGCTCAGTGGAGCTGGGAGGGACGTGATGAGGTGTGAGGCATTCACAGTGCTGGTGGGACTCCAGCTGCATCAGCATGGCTCTGAGGACAGGCTGGTAGCTTTTTGATACCTGGATGGCAGATGAGGTGGGACAGTCCTGCTGCCCACAGCTGAGACTGTAGCTTTCTTATTCCCTAAGCTCCCAATGGTCACACTGAAATTGCAGTTCTCTGAGATGGCCAGCTTCACAGTGCTGATCTGGGAGGGATTCTGGTAACCCTTACCTTCTCTGTTCCTCCAATTCTCTCAATGAATTTAAGCACATATTTTCCTATGCTGAACCTTTTTGCTTAAGCTTGCTAGAGTACATCTTGATGGGTCCAGATGGAAAAATCTATTAATTATTGGCCTAGCTGTTTCACTTCCAAGTCCAGCATGTGGTCTGGCATCAGTGAGGAGAGAACTGTGTTAATGAGGGGCAGATGGGTTTGAACAAATAGAGATGCCAAGAGGCTTTTGGTCTCAGGGTCTCAGAGAGGTCCATGAGTGGTGATGGAATGAGAAATTTGCCAACAGTTGCTGGAATGAAGACTTTAAGAACAAGGAGACAGTTATTTTTGGATCATCCAAAAGTGTGAGACAATGTATAGAATCTTTTGACAAAAAAGAGTGAAAATAAAAATTTTAAATCTATATTTGTTAGCTACCTGGAGAAGTAGTCTAATAATAAATAATAATAGAGTTCCAAATTGTTTTATCTATTGATATTAGTGCTTACTTTATTTTATTCAGCTCTGAGGAATGATTTATATCCGTAAGTGCAGGAAACATATGTATGCTCGTAGGTAAGAACAATACATGAATATAATTTTTATACACTCCCAATACATGTTTTCCCATGTAAGATCCTTACTAATATTAGCAGAAGTAACATTTTGGGGAGACAAGGATATTTGGTAAATCAGACAGAATACTACTTATTGCTATAACTAAAGAGCCTTAGTGTGTTTTTCTCTAAAATCCCTCCACCACAACCCCAACTCCAGAAATAACCAACTCATTGGAAAATGACTAGGAGGAAAAGAAGAAACAATTGCAACATTTATACAGTCATAGAGGAGTGTTCTGGAAAACATAGCAAAATAATAGGAAAAAAATTATAACAATTAAAGCACAATTTGGTATAAATGGTAAGCAACAAAAAATAAAGTTCAAAAATGTACCTTTTCAGTGGCACCCCCAGCATTTTTATATAATGGGCTAAGAGGGGATAATTTTCTTGGAGAATGTAACATGATTCTACAATTTTTCATAAACCTTTATGTAAGACTGGGAAAAGGCCAATTGCTCCTGCAAAAAAAAATTTGCGGGAACTACAAATAGAGTTAATATTTTGAACATATATGCATCCAAACAAGAATGGCAAGGAGCATAGAGGAGATCTAGACAACTTTAGTTGGGGCAGAGAGATTATAGTAACAACTTTTTTTCTTGTCGATATTTCATTAGTTACAATTATCTATAATAAAATTATGAATGCATATATTGTCACTAGTGAATTTATTCCTGTGATATTTGTTTCATTTCTTGTTACACGGTAATTCCTGCTATTGTATTTCAAACGTAAACTGAGTTCCTCAGATTTCTTTTTTAAACTAAACCTATGTCTTTGGAAACCTACATTCCAAGGGCTTGACTCTATACATACCTACCTAGTCCCAATGAATGCAGTTTGGGGATTCTGTGTGTGCCTGTGCACTGCTGTGTGTGTTAAGGAGTAACACGATCCACCTGAAATACTCTGCAGCTTTTCACATTATTTGCTTAACTATCCATTTAGTGATAAATATGTTTGGTAATACACATATTTTATAGTGTTACCTACCAAATGCTCACATAGCAAAATTTACCTTTTTTTCTTTTCTAGAAACAGTATTTAGTATTAATTGTCACTAATATGAGTTATTTTTATTTTGCCGATGGAAATGTCATTGACTTTGGTTGATCCTGGACAATCTAGCTATGACTGTTAGGGTCTGTAAACAAGTCAAGATGGCGCCTGGCATTTTGCCAGAGGGAGTGGTTTGTGAAGTAGCCAGCGAGCCATTAAGTGTGGAGATTCCTTATTGGTTGACTGCTGTATCTAGTTTATGTTAATTAAGATAAGCTGTGTTTAATGTATATACACCCCTCCTGTCCTACAATAAATGGCTCCCACTCCTGCTGTATCAATGTACACAAGTTGCTCGTCACCCCCTGGTTATTTTGCTGCAGCCGGACTGCGGCAATGATGATATCAATGTTTGGGTCAGGAGTAGATAGCTGGATGGCTGGAAATCCTTCATTGTTGAAAGCTTCCTTCCTTCCTTCCTTCCTTCCTTCCTTCCTTCCTTCCTTCCTTCCTTCCTCTCTTTCTTTCCTTCTTAAGATGGATACAATATCTTTTACTTTATTTATTGTATTTATTTTTATATGTGGTGCTGAAGATGGAACTCAGTGCCTCACCTGTGGGAGGCAAGCACTCTACCGCTGAGCTCTAACCCCAGCCCCTTTTATCTTATCTTTTCTTTTTTTTTAAAATGAAAACTTTTTGGAAGAATCTTGTAATCAGAAGTTGATGTCTGTTTTTTTTGTTGTTGTTTAAAAAAAATATCAAAGTGTTTCTACACCGGTTGTGATCCTTGGTGATCATAGCGTGACTCTAATTTGCATTCTATATGCCAAGAGTTGATCTGAGCAGATGCCAATGCCATGCTCTTGGACTTCCTAGCCCCGAGAGCTAAATAAACCTCTGTTCTTTTGTAAATTGCTCAGCCTCAGGTATTCTGTTACAGATAGAAAACAGACTAAGTGCATTGCTGAATTTTTAAAACTCAACAAATGTTTTATTTAGTATTTTGAAACATGATATGCTTTCTTAATAACAGCTCTGTCACAGAGAATGTGAATCTTGCGCATGTCAGGTGTGGGCGAGGGAAAGGGTTCCCTTTGAAGGGATGGGCTGGCTGAGAAATAAAAGCTATGAAAATTGCACCATGAAATAAACATGAAAGACCAGAAACACATTTGAAAAAGAGGGCACAGTGACGGGTTAAGCCCACCAGAGGGCTACAGCATCTAACAAAGATGGAGCCCTCCCTTGCTTTATTTATAGCGGCACAGATCAAAAGTGGATTGGTAGGAATAAGGTTTCAGTGTGATGATTCTTGTCTCTGTGCTTGCTTCTTCAAGAAAAACAGGCTGTAGATGGGGGTAGACAGGCTGTTTGGTTCTTAGTGGGTCCTGCCCATCTCCCATGCTGTGTTGAACTTGAGATGGCCCTAGGCAGGATGCCCCAGGAACCAGGCATTCCCACACCAGTGGGATTGCTACTGGGCGTTCCTGATGCCGGGATTTCCTGCCTAATGGCCTCAACATCGCTTTTAGTTCATGCATAGTTCATGGGTGGCTCCCCATACCTGAATATTTCTATTTTAGTACTACACAATTGAGAGAGATGGAGATTCTGGTAGAGATGGCTAATTAACTACCCAATATCCATTATTGTTGAACTTACCAGTAAGATAGCTGGGGACCACCACAGGGACAAAAGGAAACTACATTCTTGG